GATGTTTGTTATAAATTATGAATTGTATGTCAGGTTTGGGATTTACGCCAAATTAAAGCCCCACTTAAGGTGTTTGATGATCTTCCAAATAACTATGCCCAAACAAATATTGCATTTAGTCCTGATTTCTAACTGGAACATCCATTGAGAAGGAAAGTACCGCTGGAGGCTTGCTGTGCTTTTATGATTCTTCAAAACTTGAAATTGTTCAGAGAGTTGGGATATCTCCATCTTGCAGTGTTGTGCGGTGTGCTTGGCACCAAAGATTAAATCAGGTAGATCATACTCTTTACTCTTTGTGCATTATCCAAGCACACACATTTTCTTGCTTGCCTGATCAAAAAGTATGGACTGATAATAATAATATGAGACTAATATAATATTTTCTGTTAAAGATATTTGCAACATCGGGAGACAAAAGCCAAGGAGGGACTCATGTACTATATGATCCAACACTTAGTGAGAGAGGAGCTCTTGTTTGTGTTGCACGTGCACCTAGGAAGAAATCTGTTGATGATTTTGAGGCACCACTTGCTATTCACAATCCTCATGCACTACCATTATTTAGAGACCAACCAAGCCGTAAGCGTCAAAGGGAGAAGATACTGAAGGATCCTCACATAAACCTGAACTTCCGATAAATGGAGCAGGACATGCTGGTAGGGTTGGTACAACCAAGGGAAGCTTGTTGACTCAGTACCTTCTTGAGGTAATGGTGTTTTTCCTCCCAAATAACTTGTCTTGTGTTCCATAAAATTTTAGTTTTGTATAACAAAAGCCATTGGAAGAGACTTACATGTTGCCTCTCATTGAAGCATGGTGGAATGATCAAGGAAACGTGGATGGAAGAAGATCCTAGAGAAGCTATACTTAAGTATTCTGATGTTGCTAGCAAAGAGCCAAAGTTCATTGCTCCAGCATATGCTCAAACTCACCCAGAACCTTTTTTTGCAAAGTCAGATTCTGAGGATGAAGAGAAATGATCTGGTTATGGTTGCATTTCATTCTGTACATTTTAGTATTTCTCCTTTTCTTACCGATGACTGATAGTTACACAGGTTACTTTGTTACTGTCATGGTTCCGACTTTTGTGCTTTTTTTTTTTTTTTTTTTTGCAGTTGATCTGTATGATCTCTATCAATGTTACCCACGTTAATATGAACTCTTACAGAACTCATTGAACTGAACTGGTTATCTGGAAGGTGCAATTATTATCATTTTAGTTGACCCTCTCGTGTTGTTGGACTGGCTGTAAATTTTTATTTGCACGTCATCCTCAAAAAATGATTGATAGGGCAAAATTAGTTTGCATTTTTATCATGGTATAGAATAAAATCAATAGGTATATTGTATTATATGCTTTGTAGAAATATGCACAACCTGCAGGAAAACAAAAGGTGGCTAAGTCCTTCAAACGCATATCTAACCTCTTCCCAGGAGAGTATCTAAAAAGTATCTAATAATACGGGGAAAAGGAAAGGGAAGACACATAATGATTTTAGTGCATAAGGAAAGAAATTAAACACAAAATGAAATCAGCCAATGTAAAAACATTCCCTAAAATGTTGCAAGGGAAAAGCTTGAAAGAAAAGACTTGATGCAAACTAAATTCCCGCTTCTGCAATGGCATGACCCTTATTTGCAAGGAGAAACTAATCTCCGTAAGGTACTGCAAACTTAATTAAGGAGCAATTTACATACTGCCAAAAATATAAAAGAGTTTCCTCATATTTAATTATCTATTAAACCTGGGATTCAAATATTGGAACTGGAGGTCCATGATTCTGTAGAATTTTAAGATCTATCATTCCAGATCTTTTCATATCTGCTTCCCACTTCTTCCTCTTTGCAAAGGTTTCCTCCACCGACCCAAGATCAGTATCCGGATGAATTCCGGCAATAATGAAGTGCTCAAAGATTGAAGTAGGCAGTTCATATTTAAGCTTTTCCTGCACCCAACATCCTTAAATTAGACTCTAAAAAGCAAATAGAGATATATATCAGTATCCCATCAGAATAACTTCAAGTCTTCCAGACTTCCACTAACTATTTTGTCTCAACATCTAAAATATTTCAATTGATAGCAATCAGAATAATTAAGGCATGCACTTGACTTCCTACATTAAGGTATAGTATATTATTATTTATTACAGAGTGGTATTTCAAGCATGAGAGAGAAAAATGTCCATCCAGTTTATGGCTATCATACTAAAACCAATTACTAATACTCTTTACCTGAATGTGAGGCAAAATAAAACCTTAAAATGAATAAAAAAAAAATGGGATAACACCATTTAAAAATAAGATGAGCAATGTCTTATGACTATATATAACATCCATGTTGGACATATAAATTATAAACCAAATGGTAATCAATTGTAAGAAGCCCTTAGACCAACTAACCGCACTTGCTCCTTAGACCAACTAAACACACATGCTATCATCTTATATGGTATCTGCATTATAGTAGTATCTGGTGCATATGGCAAGTTTCGTAGAGACAGGCAATTAGTAAAGGTGTCAAATTTAAAAGGGAGGAAACTTTACATGAAATGGATACCCTTTCAATTCCTCTTGATCCTCAAATTCTGTAACCTTCCAATGTATATTCTTCTAAAATCCAATACAAAAAATGCCCTCTTCTAAATAAAGTTTACAAATTTCAATGCCCATTCCTGGGCTGTATGATTCAAACACTACAAAACTCTGTTTGCAAAAAAATATTGGAAAACTGTAAAAAAAAAAAAACAAAAACAAAAATGCCAAACCAAAAACTTATAAATTCACAACTTTATATTCTACAAATTTCACTACGTAAAACTCAACACATAACCTTATTGTAAAGGAGATTCGATAACATGGGATGAAAACCGAATTATGCAAAAAGTCAAAAAATTCAATTGGAAGAGCAACGCGAGAGATTCTTTCTTACCTGAAAATTTGCCTTCTATTTACTTTTGGATATGTTTAGCAGAGTTTTTTATTCATAATACAATGTCACATGATGATTGAAAAATAATTAAAGAAAGTGTCATCTTAACATCATTGTTATGTTTTTCAACGGTAAATGATTAAAATAGAATCAAAACATAAAATTATCTATGATTTTTAAAAAATAATAGTCCTCAAATAATAAATTAAGTAATAGGTGGATGATCAAATAGTTAGTTTACCTTATCTAAAAATATGTGTGAATTATGTTAAAAAAATATATGGGTTCAATTAATATAATTTTTCTAGATTTAGCATATATATAATTGTTATTATACTTCTAAATTAAATATATATATATATATATAAATTATTTTAGATAATTATTATATCTATATTGGTTTAGTCTATAAAATTTTTCTAGGTTCGTGATTGATTTCACCCGACTTCACAATTGTTGTTTTCTTTTGTTTTTGTCTTAGATTTTCACACTTCAGAGTATGGGTGTAAACGAACCAAGTTGAGCTCGAGTAATTCTGAGCTCAACTCGGCTCAAAAACTCGCACTTAAAATTTTCAAGCTCGATTCGAATTCGAAATCATGAACTGAAGCTCGTGGCATCTCTAAAAGACTCGAAATGAAAAAAAAATCTTAAATTTACTTGATTGAAGCCTCAAACTTGAACATGAACCTTAAAAACATAAAAATATTATTGTATTTAAAAAAAACCAACACATAAATGTTAATATTATTAATAATTTATTTTTTAAAAAATAAAATTTTAATATATTATATTTTCGAGCTGCTCATGAGCTTTTTGAATCGAGTATCAAGTAGTTCGTTTCGGCTCGTTAAGAACTCGAGTCAAGTCTATTCAATTCGAGTATTTATTGAACCTTGATCGATTCGATTCCAAGTAACTCGCGATCTGTCTCGTCTCATTTACAGTCATGCTTCAGAGTTGAGAGCTCTTCATTTATGTCGCCGAAGATGAGTGATGTTGCTATGCGGTACGATGTCACTTTCCCTATTTAGAGTGTCCTTTTCACATACCATCGTCTATTTGAAAATATATTAATTATTTATTTATTTATTTGAAAACATATAATTGTTATTGTATTGTTAATGAACGGGATAATGGTTAAAAGAATGTCTTTAAAAATAAAATTTCTCAAAATAGTCGATCTCGAGTAGTATTTCTCGTACTAAGGTAATTGCTACAATACCTTTAGAAGACTCTAAAATGACATGGAGTCTTCAGTTGCGTCTTTAACCTTGGGAAAGCTAAAAATTCCACGACTCCATGATCACCATGTGTCTTCCCTTAATATTGTAGTAATAACCTTATATCGGGAAATAATATTGTAAAGCCTTATACGATAAATTATTTTTTTCCAATGCTCTACATGAGCAAGGGAGCCGTTAATGAACATGAAATAAGGTCTCATACTGGAAGGCTCGTGCTTTGAACTCCCGTTAAAGTGGTTAGAGATATGAAACGACCATTAAAGTTAGAAGTTTGGATAAATCCTGAGAAATCGCACATTCTCATTGCCGTCTATTTTATTCCATTTAAGAAAATTACAGTTTTATCCCTCTCACCGTATATTTTAATTTAGTTTTCTCTTTGTAATATTTTTTTATTAATCAAATAAATATAAGATAATATTTATTTGAAATACTCTTAATTATATGATAATAAATACTCAAATATATCTAAAGACACTGTATTTGTATAGATCTCAAAAGATAAAAATATCTCTTAACCAATAAATTCATATTTAAATTTAAAAAATAAATTTTAATTATTTTCAAATGTTTAAAAAGCCTCGGTATATGGCATTACGAGGCAAGAGCCCTGGCAATCGCGCGATTACAGTTTAAAGACCGTGAGATACCTGAAGACTTGATCTCCTTTTAAAGACGCTGTTGACCTTGACCCCTATATAAAAAAAATTTCTTCTTCTTTCTTTTTCTTTCTAAATCGCGGTTTCCAGCGAAGTTCGAGCTCTCTTCCCCGCTACTTCACAGTTACTCTTACTCGAGAGAGATTGTTGCAGCATCAGAACTATTTAAGTTGAACCATGTGCGTAGACATATTCACCGATCATCTCTCAACCCGCTCTGGTTCCGAGCGGTTCCAATATACTCGTAACAACATGGCGCCGAGGAAGATTGATCAGGTGAGCTCGAAGCCACAAACGGGGAAGAAATTGAGAGTTAGGATCGAGGACAGACGAATGAAAGCTGAGATGGGAAAGGTGAAAGAAGAACAAGGATGCTTAAGAGACGAGCAGAGGAAATCAGTGACAAAGTTCAATGAGATCCCGAATCAAAGCGATGAACTGAAAGAAGAGACTGAAATGATCGTGAAGCAATCGGTCATCACTCGAGCCAAGCTCCTCCTCATGTACGGAATCTTGAAGGCGCGTGAGAGTGGAGATTTGGTTCAAGCTGCTATTCTCACTCGTTTCCTTCGGTTTGTTTCTGCAAAAAAGCCTTGTTATATATCTTCTCTTGAGAATTTCCTTTTTGTTTTTAACTTTGATTGCTGCATTTAATTTGCAGTGAGATTGTTGCCATGGAAAAAGCTAATGCAGTCTTGGCCGAAGCCGAAAATGAAGATGATCCATAGGCTACGCCCCCGATCACAGGAGTGCCGATAAAAGATTTGATGGGGTCTTTCGGTTCTGGATGAACGGCTCGGTCTCTTCGTATAATAAGATTTTGTGATTGGTTTAGTGATAAAAAGCTTGTGTTATTATCGAGTCACCACGACACTAAATCTCAAGTTCAAACCTTAAACAGCATTCACCTTTCATCTATTAAAGAAAAAGAAAATGATTTTAGTGTGATCTTTTGTTATGCAATATTCACTTTTAATATATTATACATTTTATATAAATTCCGGCACATTTTGTAATGTAATATTTACACATTTGTGTTATATTATTTCGGCACATTTAAACTAATAATGACTTTCATAGTGGGAGTGGAGACCAATTCAAAACCACAGTGTGGTACAAGCAAATCAGAAATTTTCAAAGTTACAACTCAAAAGGTTTGTTATTTGGGGGAAAGTACATCCATTCATCGACTCTAAAACGAGTGCATTCATCTTGGTTAACATAGGAGCAAGTACAGAAACAAGATTTATATTGGGATAAATTTATATGTAGTAAATTACATCATTAACTCTACTTTTTCTTTTATTTCACTTATTGTATTTTTAATTTTTTTTCTATTTACTCACTAAACTTCCGAATTACTTACGTTTTGATCACTACAAATTATTTTTTTATTATTCTATGATACGACATTTTTTTATTTTTATTAAAATATAAAAATAATTGAAAATAAATAATAAAATAATATTTTTTTACTATTAAATTTAAATAGATTTAAAATAATCACCATCCATTCCATCCTCTTTTTATCATCGTTAGCCTTCGGAATCAAATGTCGTTTGGTCTCAAATTGTATTGAGATACTAATTTTGACACTCTGAGCCCAAATCTGATGGTTGTTTCATCGAAAAATGTCTCAAAATCGTTAAACTCAACCGAAATATTTCGGTCTCCTCACTTTCGATCTTTTATTTGTAGATTTTGGAGCATGTACCAACAAAATGGGGGTTGGATTCAAACTCAGAAGGTCAAGGCAAATCAATCTGTGAAATTTGGGACTGAATGACCACCATACAAGATGGTACGACGATTGACATTTCAATTTTCTCACTTTTTGATCGAATTCGATGCATATTCCGACAAAATGAAAATCGGATTATGACTCAAGGGGTCGAGACAAAACAATGGATGAAATCTGAGACAAAAAACCACCATCTACAACCAACGACAGTGATGTCCACCAATGGTAAACAATGAGCAACCACTATATGTTAATATTTCTAATTATTTTTATATTAAATAATAATAAAAATTTAATGTCATATCATAATAATAATAATACAATAATTCAAAGTAACCAAAATAGGAGCAATTTGAAAGTTCAGTGAGTAAATTATAGAAATTGAAAGTACAATAAGTGAAATAGGAGAAATAATAAAGTTCAACATGGAATAGTATTGTTTACCCATTTATAAAAGAGAAAATAACCTCAGTGACCAAAAATCCTAGATAATATACGATTTTGACCAACTTTTTTTGGATTTGCGAAAATGACCAACAAAATCGCAATGCGATCTCTAATTCGCATTGCGATCTCCACTATCACAAATTCGCGTTGCATTTCGCATTGCGATAGTTGGAAATCGCGTTGCGATTTTCCATTTCGCGTTGCGATTTTTCATTTCGCGTTGCGATTTTCCATTTCGCGTTGCGATAGTTTACAGTTGTCGTTGCGATTTTCCAAATTCGTTGCGAAAATTCGTTGTGATAGTTAAAAAAAAGATTTTGTTTCTTAAGAATTTTCTCTAAAAAGATAATATCTGCGCGGACGTGTCGAAGACATGTATTACCACGACCACGACCACGACCACGACCCGACCACGACGATGGCGGCGGCGGCGGCGCGCGAGAGTCCCCCTTGTTCTCTATCACTCAACAAGGAAGTGGGAAAGCCAAGCCTTAAATACCATTCCCAATAGTGTTTCCAATACTATGTGGGATTGAGCATTACCAACACTTGTTTCCAATACAATGTGATTATTCAGGAAACAATTAACAATCATACACCTTAAAACAACTGAATTAGCAACCAATTGCATTAGTATTATACGATTAAATATGTCATAATTAAAAGTCAATCTACAATCAATCGCGATTATTGCAATTTTAAGCAAAACATTCAAAAATAATATCACTATTTAAGGCTCAATCCCACATAGTACTGGGAACAAGTGTTGGTAATGCTCAAATCCCACATAGTATTGGAAACACTATTGGGAATAGTATTTAAGGCTTGGCTTTCTCACTTCCTTGTTGAGTAATAGAGAACAAGGGGGACTCTCTCGCGCCGCCACCGCCGTCCGTCTCGTCTCGTCTCGTGTCGTGTCGTGGTTGTGGTTGTGGTCGTGGTCGAAACGTGTTCAGTGGAAGGTGCACAACCGGGTAAGTTCGAATCACTTACTTTTCAATCAATTTCTTTGATAATTGATATGGGGCACAAGAGAAGAGGAGTTTCCGCACGCAAAGGCCATGTGAGCCATGGTGGGAAACGGGAAGAGAGTCCGGTGGGCTCGAGAGCATTGTCGGTGTCCAAGCATGAGGATGCCGTGATGAGTTCGCAAGGAATGATCGAGGCAACGAAATCACACTTAGAGGAGCTAGATCTCGAGGTAGGGAGGCTCAAGGGTGACGCCGAAGACATGTCCGAGCAAGACAATACATCCAATCATGATGACGGGGAGAGTCTTCATGAGGAACCAGACGAGGAACTGACGATCGACAAGAAATGGGCCTATTTGATGGAAGGTTTGGCTTTCCACACGCAAAGGTTCATCAAGTTGGAGGAGATCTCAACTTTGTGGGAACAAAGGGTCGGGAGACTTGAACAAGCCGAGGATGAGGCCAAGCAGACCCAGGGCGTTGTGGAGTCCTGCCTTGATCGATTAGAGTCCATGGAGGGCAGATTCAAGGTCGAGACGCAACGAGTTCTTGACGAGTTGGAGATGGATCGAGGGAGGAATGCCCAAGAAGCCGAGGTAACGGCTTTGAGAAGCGAGATGGATGAGCTCAAGAGGGAGCTACTCATATGCAAGGGAGCAATGAGTGAATGGGGTGCGCTCAAGACCTTCTTGGAAGGACTTAGACCAGGGGCGATGCTCGGGGAAGAGCAAGGTGATGCCCAGAGACTTTTGGGAGCCATAGCTGTAGTCGGAATGCTAACCGAGCTTGCTGATGTCAAGCCAAGTAGCAATGTGTCGTCCAGGCCCATGCCCAGGAATAGTGGCAATAATGGGGGAGACCGGGAAATGGTGCAGCGGGGAGATGGTATAGAAAGCTCTTCGAGTGGCCAAGTTGAGCCAACGACTGTTCGCGGCCAAGGAAAGCCATTGGGAAAGAATGGCAAGGCCAAGTCCGGGGAAAAGAAGAAGCCGAGCAAGGAGAAGTTAAAGTGCTACTTCTGTGATGGTCCTCACTTGATTAGAGGATGTCCCGAGAAGCGTCACCTTACAACCATCATGGAGAGGATGGGAGAAGGAGGAGTAGCAAGCATTGGCGGAGGCAGAAGAGTTCAAGCTGCCAAGTCAAGGGAAAGACTTAGTCCGATTGATGGGATCAATGCGGCCAAGCAAGTATCAAGACGAGGCAAGGCTGTCAAAGATGAGGCGGTCAAGCCAAGAAAGAAGCCAGATGCGATTGCGAATGATCGAGCAATCAAGTCAGGGGCAAGACTTGACGAGGCTACATGTTCCAAAGTAGCCGAATCAAGGGGCAAGCATGGTGAGACTACAAGTTCTCAAGTAGTCAAACCAGGATCGAGACGTGACGAGACTGCAGGTGTCAAAGCAGTCGAGCACAGAAAAAGACCCGGTGCGATAGCGAATGATAAAGCCGTCAAGCCGAGGGTACAATGTGAGCAGGTTCGCTCACAGCATGCCAGGATGGAGGCGTGGTCCAAGCTGAGGCGCCTCAGGCATAAGGGGACACTAAAGGAGTATGTGAGCCGATTCAGAAGACTCATGCTCAAAGTCCCAAGTTTGACTGAAGAAGAGGGATTCTTCACCTTCATGTTCGGATTGAAGCCATGGGCAAAGAAAATGTTGGAGCGAAGGGAAGTCAAGGGGCTGTCTAAAGCCTTGACAACCGCCGAGTCCATAAAAGAATTTGGAGTCAAGAAGAAGACTTCCAAAGCAAAGCCCAAAGCCGAGGGTAGCGGCAGGAGATCCCAAAATGAAGACAAGTCGGATGATGAGGAAGGTTGTTCCTCGAGTTGCAGAGCAAGTCCACTCAATGATGAACCAGATGGGGAATCTGGGGATGATGTGTGCACTAGTTCAAGTGACACAGATGTTAAGCCGAGGGTAAGAGCCGAGCAAACAAGGGGGCGCAAACTTGAGGTGCCAGCATGATTGCAAGATTACCCAATAAAATTCTAAGGGATGACAACCTCATTAAATTTTAGGATGACAAAAATATATTTTTAATAAAAAGAAAGAAAATTTTAAAATATATGGAAATTTAAAATTTTTAGGGGGCGACAACCTCCACCCGCTCCTCTCGGTGCATCCCTACATAGGAGGACACGTGTTACCTACACTTTTGAACTGGAAATTATTCAACTCGATCTCTCTTAAAAAAATAAGTCATGGAAACAAAACAGACGTAGGAACCGCCAAAACTTCAGGACATCAATGTCTGATACTCATCAACTCCATAATTCAACTGATTTAGAGCTCCATTATTTTATTCATGCATACATCTCCATCGCAGGTTCTCTTCTAATACGGTAAAGCTAGCATTTTTCACAAGGTTAAAACACTAGGCTTCATAGAACCACGTTCTAGTTTATACTCATAAGGTGTTAGACTGTTAAAGAATATGCACGTGTATTGCTGTTAAAGAAATATGCACATGTATTAAGCAGTTAGTCTGTTAAGTGGTTAGCTGGAGTTGTTAGGCAGTTAGAGGAAAGCTGATGAGCATTGTATCTCTTATAAATTGGTGTACTTGTTGATATGAAAGATCATCCTTTTCCTGTGTAAATACACCATTGA